CATGGGAACAAGTATGAAGTTGACAAATTGGAGCGGGATATTGCTACTTTTGTTCACGATGATTATCAGCGAATGAATAACCCGCTACTGGAAATATTTCAACCCGTTGACAATTCCAAATCTTTGGCTGATATGTGGAATTCTGCTGGCTCGGCAAATTTCCTGGGAGTAATGGTTGAGGAAAATCCTGCCGCCGTGGCATGGGCTGTGAGTTGTTTTTCTTATGCATCCTTCCATTTTATTGTTGATTAAAAGATTTGTAATTGTCACATCTTTGAGTGAATTGCAAATTTGCAGTATTAATTTTTTAATTATCAGCTCGCTATCAACTTCTACAACGATCGTAACATCCGTATCGTCCTAGCCCGTCCTCAGCATCCTGAAGTGGTCAAGCAATTACGTGCCGATGCTAACAACCGCTTTTTATTGTACCATCGTGGAGATTCGACTCCCGTTTGGACCAGCCCGTAAGTTTTCTTTTTTGGGGCGTCCCTTATGTGCTTGGATTAGAATCTCATCAAGAAATGGTTTTGTTTTTACTCTTTTTTTTCCATTTTTTTGGGCAACATTGTATAGTCATTGGTATATGCTTTCAAGCTAAATAACCTTATATATTTAATTTAATGATAGTTTTTCGATTTTCGACTTTATGTATTTTACTTTCTTTTTCCTTTTTAAAAGTTTGGAGGAAGGACGCAAATATGAAAGAATGCGCACTTTTGAACTAAGCTGATCAGCTGTAGCTTTTGTTTTTATTGTGGAATTTTGCCAATTCGTGCTGAGAAATAGCTCTGGTTTTTTTCTGAAGATTGCGAATCAAACTTCATATGCTGGTCACTTCAGCAAGAACTTCTCACCTGTGTTGCTCCAATTTTGAAGTTTTATGGATTTCTAATATACTTGACCGATGAAGAAGTGATTTACCTTCAAACAAAACCAGTACAGGCAATGCTCAATGAAAAATCAATGAGAAAGTGTGTTGGTCCCATGTGACAGACAATAAATAATGCGCATTTGTCAATAGGCTAATGGGCTTTTCAAGTTGGTTACGATTACTGACCCACATGTAAGTTCACAATTTTAGAAGTGGTGCAAGATGGAGCGAAATTCAGGACAAAGTGATGGAATTTGTCACTCATCATGCGGCCCCTCCAAAATCTGCTGAAAAAGTAGGTTGATATTGGTTTGAATTTTCATTGCAGTTGTCAATTTGAAATGATTGTAGTCGACTGCCGTCGAACCACAGGCTCCTGCTCCCACTGCAGAGATTGATATGTCACAGTACAAAGTCGAATTGGCTGATATCAAGAGCACTATAAGCTATATGCTTTTCCAGGTAGTGTTGCCAACAATCCCTTTCTGCCATAAGTGGGCGATATTGTCGCATTTGTAACGTATACCATTTGTTGTAAACCTTGCTTTTAGGAGATCGCAAGGCAGCAGGTAGTAGATGGTGAAGGTTTGGTCGGTTTGAAATCATGGATCCATGCTGTTAGTAAGGTAAGATGTGAATTGGCGTATATTTTTGTAATATCGAGTGTAATAGCAAAATTCGCTATGATTTGCTTATCTCTCACAGTATGCTCCTGCTACCACTCCTATACGACGTCTCCTATACCGCATGGATCAATGGCTACAGGGTCAAGGTCCGAGCATGACCTATGAAGATTGGACTAAAAAATTGGAGGAGGTTCACGTAAGTAGTTATCCATTTGGGAATTTTTTTTCACTTTTCTTTGCAATTCGGTATTTCTAGACTGATCTTGGGAATCCACTTCCCAGAGAAATCGAATGGGTTGCATGTAAAGGCTCGAAACCACACTTCCGTGGATATACTTGTGGTGTTTGGGTT